CAGGCCCGGCGTGGGCAGCATCCCTGCACCTGTGGGCTGCCCGGGACCTGCACCCACGGGTGACCTGGTGCCTTTGCACAGAGCAGGGAGCTTGAGAAAGCTGAGGTCTGAGCCAGCAGGGTCCATCCATCCATTCATCCATCCATTCATCCATCCATCCATCCATCCATCCATCCATCCATCCATTCATCCATTCATCCATTCATCCATTCGCTTATGAATTCACAGCTGTCTATGGAGCACAGGTTATGTTCCAGGCACGGCTCTCGGCCCTGCAGTGACCCAGACAGAGGACTTTCCTGCTGGGGGGGGAGGGGAGGGATAGGAAACTAATAACTAAGCGAACAATCCCCAATATGGGGCTGGGGTCGTGCTGGGAGGCGTGATCAGGGAAAGCTTCCGGGAGGCGGTGGCCTTGAAGGCCGAGAAGGGGCATTGCCTACAGGCGGGGGCCGGCCCCGCAGGGTGGATGCGGCTGATTTCGTCTCCCCGCCCGGATTCCAGGGCGGATGCGATGACGCTGGGCCGTTGAGAACAACATGAGAGGGACCGGGCGGCGCCTGACTACAGCGGCCGAAATAGCTCAGTTGGGAGAGCGTTAGACTGAAGATCTAAAGGTCCCTGGTTCGATCCCGGGTTTCGGCAGCTCTCCTTTTCCTTTTCTTTCACCCCCCCGCCCCGAGCGTGGTGGAAATAAGCGAGTGGAGAGAATACAGGGGGGTTCATTTTCTTTGTTTGAAACAGCTTCGAGTTTCCCCCCGGGAGCCCGAGCGGCTGGAAACCTCTCGGTGCGTCCCGTCTGGGGAAATCCAACAAGAGCAAGCTTTTCCTTGATCCTCATTTATTTTATGTCGTAAAAGCTGACGAACTGCCCCGTGTCTGTCGGCTGCTCGTCCATTCCCGCCGCCTGTGATCATTTCTGCTGCGTGAGCGAGCGCAGCTACATCAAGCGCGCGGTGTTGCGGGAGAAGATAAGGCGGGCAGACCTCCGGGCATGTGAATAGCTAAACTCCTTGAAGGAGAGATTTTAAAATAAAAGGTTGGGCAAAGCCCAAAAGGTGGAGATGCCGGGGATCGAACCCGGGGCCTCATACATGCAAAGCATGCGCTCTACCACTGAGCTACATCCCCCGCCCTCGGAGCCCCGCGGATGCAGGAAGTGGCGGCCTTTCTCCACGTGCATGTGTTTCTTCCTTTCGGGGTGCTCAGCGCCTCCAAGGATCGGAGCAGGTCCCTCCGCGCAGGGGAGAAGCCTGCCCGCCCCGCGGCGCAGGCGGAGACCGCGGGGAGTGATGCGCGCGGCAGCGGAAGGAGGCGGTTTCTATAGGAACAGGCGTGGAGGGGCCCTGGCATGGCTCGTCCTCGTTAGTATAGTGGTGAGTATCCCCGCCTGTCACGCGGGAGACCGGGGTTCGATTCCCCGACGGGGAGGCTGTGTATCTTTTACTGGGTTGTTTGGTTTTGTAGGGGCAACATTCAATAATAGGTCTGTTTGCCTTGTATGTATAGATGCATAACTCATGGACGCAGGCGGAAATACTTTTAACAATAAGGATTACGTAAATAAATAAGTAAACAAATACATAAAATAAATGAAAACATATCCTTGGGTGAGGATTAAAAGGAAAATAGTATGGAATGGATACCAGAGTCTGTCCTGTACAGTAAGGATAGTTCTGTTTTGTGAAACAAAAAACAAACGAAGAACAGGTCTGTGTGCAACCGGATGGCGTCACCAGAGAAGAGGGGGCTGGAGGGGGAAGAGGTCGGAGGGGTCAGAGGCGTGGTGAGCGAAGGGGACCAGCCTTCTGCTGGTGAGCACACAATGGAGTAGACAGAGGTTTATATACTGTTATTAACCAGCGTTCCCCTAGAGATTTGATTTTTTTTTTTTAATTCATTCCTGCACCTCCACCAAAAACAAGCTAAAAAAGGCTAGGCCCTTCCCTTTTGCTCCTGGTTCCAGCATCGGCTGGAACTCCGGCTGTGAGGTTATGAGAAACAGTCCTCTTTGGGAGAAAAAACATCGATTTGTTGTTCCCCTTACTGTGTTTTTTAAAACTTATCTTTCTTGCTTAAAATATCACAGATGCCCCCCCCCTTTTCATTTAAATTTATCTTTATTGTTGAAATACTGCAGGTGTCCCCTGTTTTCCCCCATTGAACCCCTCCATCCCTTACCCCCTCCCCCAGGCCTTCACCACACCACTGTCTGTGTCCACGGGTTCTGCATATATGCAAACAAGGTCTTTAGTTAATCCCTCCCACCCACGCCTTCTCTCTGAGGTTGGTCCATCTGTCCCCTGCTTCTGTGTGTCTGGGTCTGTTTTATTCCTGTTTATATTCATGCGTTCACTGGTGGTTTCTTGCATGTGCCCTGACCGGGGATGGCACCTGCAGCCTTGGTGCACTACGCATTTAAATGTATAGAATTTACTTAGAAAAAAAGGGCACTGCACACTTAAATGTATAAAATTTATTCAGGAAAACAAGATTTTAAGATGAGACTCTAGCAGAGAATTCCAGAAAGTGGTGTTGCAGGCCTGGGGGATGTAGCTCAGTGGTAGAGCGCATGCTTTGCATGTATGAGGCCCCGGGTTCGATCCCCGGCATCTCCATTACATTATTTTTCTCATTCTTCTTTCTCCTGTTCATCCTTAAAGCGCCTACCCGGATGCGGCGATAACAGGTGTAGCTCCTCCTGTCACCACCTGGAGGTGCGGTTTCCCCCACAGTCGAGATCGGCCTGGAACGTTCCAGATGTGCTTGTGCTGGAGGAGGCGAACGGGAGCAACTCACAGAACAACGTGAAGAAGGCAGAACCGACGTGATGCTGGGAACCACAGCGACACTGGGCAGAGTGTCCCGTTGGGCAGTGACAGCGCCTGCAGCGAGGCCTGCGGGGTGGGGCTCATTCCTAGCCGCCGGGGGTGATGTGTAGTGTCCGTCGGAGGTCAGAGGTCTGTGCCGGCCTTGCCCTTCGCCCTCCGTGCTGTCAGCAACAACCTTTTTCAGAGGGAGCCGCCCAAAAGGAGACTGGCGTTCCCAGCAGGGGCTTGCTCCCTGCTTCATCAGTAACAGGACCAGAATGAATGAATGTAAGAATGAATGAGTGAATGAATGAATGAATGAATGAACGAACGAATGAAGTGCATGAACTCTTTATACTTGTACACTGTATTTTATCACTAAAAATGAAAGCTATTTTTCATTAAATGAAGGGGTCCTGTTGCATCCTACGAGTCCAGTTCTTTGCCTGCAGTAATAATGGATCCTTGTCCATCAATCTGTCTCATTTGACTCCACACTTGTGTGTTTTTTTAATATATTTTTATTGATTTCAGAGGGGAAGGAAGAGGGAAAGAAATAGAAACATCGATGATCAGAGAGAATCATTGATCAATTGCCCCCTGCACACCCCCCACTGGGGATTGAGCCCGAGATCCGGGCATGTGCCCTGACCGGGAACGGAACTGTGACCTCCTGGTTCATAGGTAGACACTCAACTACTGAGCCACACCAGCCAGGCCACCTCACATTTTAAAACATCCCACCCACCCTCCAAAAAATTAAAAACATCCCACCTTAGATCTGGAGAGACTCTGCAAAGCCTTCATTTCTGAGATGAAACTGAAGTCCCTGAAGTGACTCACCCTTGGGCGGTGGCTGGTGGCGTAGGGGTGGCAGCTCCTGCTTGTAAACAAGCAAAGGTTGAAGTTAAATTTATGAGGCCTCACACGAAACTAATGATAGTTTCCCTTTGTAGCTGACCATTACGTATTTCTCATGGTGTCACCGGGAACCCCGGGTGGGCTCGGGCTGCCTGTCGCTGTGTCCAGCCACGATGGCAGGTTGAATCCTATGAGGCGTTTATTGAGGAGGCCAGCCCACCAAGAAGACAGGGCGCTTTCAAGCGTCAAAACCTGCCTTTCTGCAGATGCAGGGGGCGGGACTGTAAAGGGGAAGGGGCTGGGGTGAGGCAGCCCTGGGGGTCCACAGACGTCAGCTATTGTCTGGCCACGAGATGATGTGGATGAGATGATGTGGATGAGATGATGGTGAGGAGATGATGTGGGTGAGATGATGTTTTGACTCCTGGTGGGTCAGTCCGACCCTGCTTATCGGTTCTGCTTGCTGGATTCACAGCGGGGTCACCTCCTCAATCGCTTCGCACAGGCCTTGAAAGGGAAACTTAAGAAAAACCTCACCCCTTCTTCACATATGAGAAACTTAACCCCCAATTCATGTAAGTATATGTGTTCTAAGATTTAAAATAGTAGGATTATTTTTCAAATTAATTCAGGTGCTCTATCTATCAGATGATAGGTTCCCCCCCTATCAATACACAATGACAAGGGGGGGAAAATACCCTAAAGAGAGAGAAAAAAAATCACATCAGGCTTGTGTTGGAAAACGGAGCCTCCTAGGAAAGTTGTCGTGAATCTTGGAAAAAAATCGTTTCTAACACCATTTTATTTTACATTAAAAAACATCAACAACAACACAGCCCCTGCGATGAGGTCCCTGGAGACGTCAACTTCATACCAGAGACGGGAAGTGGGATGGCGGCTGCCCTGGGCCGGGAGGATGGGGTAATGGAGAGTTGGCTAATGGGTCAGAGGTCAGTTTTGCAAGACGAACACAGGTGTGGAGGTGGCTGCATAACAGTGTGGATGTGGAAGGTAGTAGAATGTGCCGCCCCCAGATATGCCACTTCGTTGTTGTTTTTAATGCTTTTATTGATCTGAGAGAGAGAGGAGGGGACAAGGAGAGAGAGAGAGAGAGAGAGAGAGAGAGAGGTCAAACCCACACAACCCGGGCACGTGCCCTGACCGACCACCGGGAATCCAACCACAGATTTTCTAGTTCCTGGGGCGACTCAACCAACTGAACCACTTGGATATAATTTTGAGCTGAAGGCACTTGGAAAACAGCAAACTCGGGGAGAGTCGTTCCCCGGGTCCCCTTAGCTGCCCGACAGTCTCCCCCAGGAGCTGAGAGGCCCGAGGTCCCCTCCGGGGGTTCCACCGACCAGCGAACTCCTGTCGCAGGACTGAGGCTAGGAGAGGACAGCCCACTTGGTCACAAGCGATCCTGTCTCCCACCCGTCCTCTTCCCCACGTGTCTTTCCTACAGTCATTCACTCTCTCCTAAGAGGCCTCCTTGCTCCCCCCTTTCCCTGTGGTTTTTAGGCCTCAGATCTAAATCGGCTTCTCTGAGCGACTCCCTGTCCCCAGGGTATCCCCCAGGGAGCGGTATTGGAGTCAATGAACACCTGGGTTTCCCTCCTGTTACTCCCCTTCAATGCCAGGGTCTCTAAGAACCCCCCTCAACACACTGGACACGCTGCGCTGTGCACGTAAAACAGGGTAAGCCGGGCCAGTGTGGCTCAGGGGTCGGGCATCGACCTCTGAACCCGGGGGTCGTGGTTCCATTCGGGTCAGGGCAGTGTGGGGCGGGCAGGAGGCGGCCGGTCGGTGATTCCCTCTCACCATTGCTATTGCTGTCTCTCTCTCTCTTCCTCTCTGAAATCAATAAGTATATATATTTATATTTAAATGGTTAATGAAGATGGTTCCGTTTTGTTATGTCTGTGTTGCCATGATGATTTTTAAAAGCCCCAGGAAGTTAGGGGGTGGGACTGGTTGTTTTTAAGCTGGAGCGGTTGTGTTCTGCTTCGGGGATGCAAATGTTCAGACGCGGACAGGAAAACAGCAGGGCCCTGGCCACTGTGTTCTGTGTGGGGTTTCTTTTTCGTGGTGTTTTCCGCCCCCCCCAAGCGGCTGATTCCCTTGACTCCCGTTTATGGTGGCAAAACCGATGACAAGACAAGGCAAGCCCTTCCCACCCAGCTCTCCCGGGAACAGGCCTGCCGGCCACTGTGTCCTCGGACATTCCCTGGACGCTGAGTGGTGAGTGCCATACGAGGCTGTCACCTTCGTGGCAGCTGAATCCTCTGCGGGGAGAGGAAGTTCAGCAGACACGCAGGCACCAGGCCCATCTCTGCCCTCCCAGCCCGCACCCAGCCCCCACCCCGGCTGCCGGCACCCAGGCCTTTGTGAGCTCAGTGCATCATGTGCCTG